GACACAGTAAACACCATCATAAGCAAAGTCAAAAGACAAGTGACAAACTGGTAGGAAAATGTATTTGCAATTTGTAACACAGACAAAGGGTACATTTCCCTAAAATATAATGAACTACAATTCAATTTTAAAAATGGACAGTTGTAAAGTTTTTTATGGTGATGTATTTCCACTTAACTGTGCTACATGTTTCATGTCTTTAATGCATATCCTCAGAGCCTACTAGGAAAATCCTATATTGGAGAAGGACTTCGGATATGTACAGCTAGAGACACAGCCATAAGTGTGTAAACAAACCTGAATTTTTTTTTTATTCCCCAGTAAAATAGCTCCCAGTTAGAAATATTCTGTTATTATCAATGGTACACCATACCTCCATTTTCCCTGTCATCTCTGCCTTTTTCTACCTCCTTCTCCTCATCCAGAAAGTTGCTGAGTCTTTTCTGCATTTCATTCATAGTATTTCACACCTGCTTCAGTCTTTCCAGGGCCACCAACTACTACTTTTTTACTTAAGAGGCATTCAACATTTCCCTCATGACTGAACTACTGCCATGGTCTCCTTGCCTTTTTTTCTCTTGTTCACTTTTCCTATCAACATAATATACCACACCCTGAGTAATCTCCCTAAAACATGGTTTTCATCTTGGGCCACCAGCCTACTCTAAAGCCTTCATTGGTTCTTCACCATCTAGGTTGGAGTCTAACTTGTGAATCTGACCCTCAGAGTCCCCCTTAATCTGATTCTCACTCCTCTGCCTTTCTCAGTGCATCTTTTTAGGCACGCTCCAAACATCTAAACTGTCTGTGTGGCCCATTCCACTCTGCCCGTTTCTGCCTTGGTGCTGCCCTCCCTCCTCTGTGCTGCTACATCCTTTGCTTGCCACGAGGCCCCGTTCTGGTCTCCACCAGCTGGCTTTCCCAGGTGCCCCAGTCCTCAGCTTCTGTTGTTTCCTTGCCTCCCACTGCATTTATTGATTGCCTGTATCTCATCTCACGTTTAACCTTTGCTGTCTATATTGTTGTAGATTATCTTTTCCATTGAAGTAGAACATACATACAGGAAATTACACAGATTACAAAGTGAAGCACTTGGTCACTTTTCATAACGTGAATGCACCCATGTCGTCAGCATTCCTCTCTTCTGATATGCACTCTGTCTCTCTCATGGTGAGATGGTAAGCACCTGGGAGACAGAACCACATCATGTGCCTCTGCATGAAAATGTATAACATTAGGTGCTCAGTGATATTCCAAATCAGTCAGTGGAACTAAGAAAGGGATCTAGGTTTCACAAATAAGAAACTTGTAGAAATTTGAAGGAGTACCTGAAATTTCCATTACTAACTACTAATTCTTTCTTGACAACTAGTTAGAATTGAGATATGACACCCATACCTGCCAGTTGGAGGCTATGTAATTTTAAGTTTTGTTACCTTGGTGGTAACCTATGTATTAGACCGTTAAATACAGTCTAGACAAGTGCATGTCATAGTTTTCTCTCTTCATACATGTAGATGTACACAGAAATCTACAGGATTAGTTTTAGTTGTCATTTCGTCCAACAAGTATTGATCATATGCAGTCTACTAGATACCATTACAGTGTATAGCAGAATTCAGCTCCTACCTCTGTAGAGGTTATATTTTGAGTCACTAGAAATAAGTGATAAAACTAAAAGAAAGGCTTAAGACTAAAAGATATAACAATGACTAAACAATAAGATAATGATGAAAAATTGTTACTAAATCATTGTAAATATACAGAGAGAACAAGAGCACAGGGATAGGAAAGGGTAAAATGAAGATTGGCCCTGCTCTAGGAACTCGTGGATAAGAAATCCATTTCATGTGACATCATCAAAAGGTGTGAAAGAAGATGGCAACTTATGAATGTCAAATAAATACAAGGTTAAGGAGAATAGAGAGACCTTAAAAACATCATTAACAATACCTAATTTTTAGTAGCACCTTAGAGTTTACAAGGTACTTGTGTACCTGTTCATCTTATTAGATCTTTGCTCATTATGATCTTTTACCCCTTATGGGGTTGGTACAGTGGGTAGTGTCTTCTACACATTGTCACACACAGCTCCTGTGTACCAGGTGTACGTTTAGAATCTGACTGTAGCACTCTTTCCACAGCCTGCCCTTGCCTTCATGGAGCGTGAGAATTTATGTGTAGATTTCTCTTAATTTTTGTAATTACTACATTGAAATCACATCCCAGCTAACTTCATTGTTGCCATACTTACTATTTCCTTTAAGCCTGAAGAAGGAGAATCTCCCTGCAAATCTGGATGTCATCTGCATAAGGGAGAATAAAGTCATAGGTCACTTCCATGTGCTGTGATGTCTGCATTACTTGGGAATGTGGGTGCAAAGAGAAGGTAGATACAGAGTGGGAGAAAGTTTTTGCTAACTATGCATCTGACAAGGGATTAATATCCATAATATACAAGGAACTCAAGCAGTCACACAGTAAAAAAACAAATAACCCAATTAAAAAATGGGCAAAGGAGCTGAATAGATATTTTTCAAAGGAAGACGTACAAATGGCCAACAGGCACATGAAAAAATGCTCACTATCACTACTCATCAGGAAAATGCAAATTAAAACCACATTGAGATACCACCTCACTCCAGTTAGATTGGCTATAATCAAAAAGACAATGCATAATGAATGCTGGCGAGGGTGTGGAGAGAAGGGAACACTCCTGTACTGTTGGTGGGCCTGTATATTAGCACAACCACTATGGAAAACAGTATGGAGGTTTCTCAAACAACCATAGATCTTCCATATGATCCAGCAATCCCACTTCTGGGTATGTACCCAGAGGAATGGAAATCATCATGTTGAAGGGATACCTGCACTCCCATGCTCATCGCAGCCCTGTTCACAATAGCCAAGACATGGAACCAACTTAAATGTCCATCGATGGATGATTGGATAAGGAAACTGGTTTATATACACCATGGAATACTACTCTGCTTAAAAAAGAATGAAATTCTCCCATTTGCAACAACATGGATGAGCCTGGAGAAACTTATGTTGAGTGAAATAAGCAAAACACAGAAGGATAAATACTGCATGTACGTGCTCATAAGTGAGAACTAAGAGAGAAAGAAGGAAGGAAACACCAGAGTGGTGTGTTGGACTTGCAGAGGGAGAGAACATACCTTGGGAACAAAGTGGAGTGGGGGGGGAGGTAAAGGGGGAAGGAGGTTGGGGATAATTGGGTGGGGACATGGGGTACAATCGCAATTTGTAGTAATGCGTATGCTGCCAGTATGGATCTGGCCTTCACATCTTGTGCACAAGGGGTGACAATCAGCTTTGAATCTCGTGAATATTAATAATAAAAAAAAAAAAGAAAAGTAGAGAACCCATCGGCTGCCAGTGCTTAAAAAGTAACTCTTTGAAAGTATTGTTCCTTTTTAGTTTTGTTTTGTCTCACCTTTTATTGCCTCTTTGTTCTATGACTTTTCCATACCTAGGAGGCTTCAGTTGGCAAAGCTATAAATCTGTCAGTCTCATTGACTGAGGCTTTCATTTCAAATTAATGTTCAACAAAGGGGTTAGCAGATAACCATTTTGGGCTGAATTTCTTTATACAAAAGGGTGGATATGGTTTGAACAGACTGCCAAAACCACGAAGAGAAGTTAATTGTGTAAATCAATGCAGGCAAGAGCTGATCGCCTTTCTAAAAGACAAAACAATGCAACACACATCCTCTAAATAGATCTTTGGGGTCAAGTTGATGTCATGTTGAAGAATCAATTTTTACTGGGCTTTATAAAGTTAGCCTTTAATGAACCTCAGGCATTTTGCTAGGCCATTAATTGCAGGCAGAGTGCATGTGTGTGGAAGTTGTATAAAAATAAGTGAACAAGGGTTTGGATCCCTGTACTGGCCTGCGGCCAAAAATAAATAAGTGAAGAGACAGTCACATGCCATATGCAAAGGTCCCACCCTTAGGTTCCACTCAAGCATCGTTGGGTACGCATATTGAACGGCTTTCTTGGGATCTTACTGAACTTGTCAAGAACCGTTCTTGCATTCTAATAGAGGAAGGTGAGCCCTTTACTCTTTGACATTCCTTATCCAAGCTGTGTGGCTTCATTTTCCTGGGATGAATCCTGATATCCTTTTGTATTCTGCCTTATAAATGTGCAAGTCACAGGGTCAGGTCCCTCTTAGAGTATGGCTCATCCTTCCCCCTGACACACTTGAAAGCTTTTATAAAGTGGAGGATTATAGTAAAGAGCATTTCCTTAAGAACACTGGCTTGAATCCAATCTAATTAAAGGTTTTTGATAAATATTATCATTTGTATTTGTTCCATCATCCAGTAGGAGTGTTCCTGTGGTTTTGTGTGTATGAGTGTTCTGTGTCCCTCACTGGGTTGTATGAATCATTGTGGGGCAGGAGCCTTATCTTCTATTTCTTTTCTTTTTTTTTTTTAAATGATGTCCTTTGAGTCATACATCTTCTATTTATTTTAGTCAGTGCTCCTAATAAATGTTGTTAACTAGATAGAGGAATGTGTTACATCAAATTTTATCCTGGCTGTAACAAAATTGGGATCCAGATGGATCAGTAACTACCTGGTCAGTAACTAAAAGTCAGAAGCAGCTTTGTCAGGCCCTGTGAGTCAGGGGGGTGGCTCCAGGATGTTTGTTACAAGTTCTTAGTCATATCTGCTCAATAGATAAATTTTGGATTTGACTTTCTGGACTTCTTCCTCAAGTGCATTTTGTCAGGGGAGACTTTAGAATTAGAGGAAGAACTGGCTGTTCTTTTCTCACTCCCACCCCCATCCCTCCTCTCCCGGATCATTATTCAGAATAAATACTGGAAAAAAAAAAATAATAAAGCAAGAAAGGTTTATTGGGACTATTGTGGTTTGGTGTTTTTACAAGACAATCTGATGTTTAATATTTTCATCTGTAGTTTTTTTCAGATATTCATTCTGGATTTTTTTTTTCTTGCTTTTCAGTTGTTTGAGAACTTCTACTTTGGTTCCCTAAAGCTTAATTCAATTCACATCTCTCAGAGGTTCACAGTAGACAGCTTTGGAAACTATGCCTCCTGTGGACAAATTGACTTCTCTTGAGGTGGAGATCTTGGAAAGCATTAGAAATTGAACATCCTCACAAGGTGCTGAAGAAAAATATCTTCCTTTTAATTGCCAAGGAGGGATGTGGAAGTTTGGAGGGTGACTTTCCTGGGTGGTTCCCCATGGACTCACCATTGCCTCTGATGGTTGTCCACAGCCGTCACACTGTCAGCCAAAATGGTTGTGGGCACAAGGAGAACTTGGGCATACAACCCTTGGCTTGTTTTTTTGTTTTGTTATATTTTTTTCAGTCCTTTTTGTTGCTGTTAGAAAATATATCTAAAATTTACTGTCTTAACCATGTTTAAGTGTACACCAGTATTATTAAATACATTCATAATGTGCAACCAACACAGCTGTTTATCTCCGTGACTTTTTCATCTTATAAGATTGAAACTCTATATCCATTAAACAATAACCCTCTCTCCCCAGCCCCTGGCAACCATCATTATTTTCCTTTTTTGTGACTGGCTTGTTTCACTTAGCATGATGTCCTCAAGGTTTATCCATGTCCTATCATGTGACAGTATTTCTTTCCTAAGGATAAATGATATTCCATTATATGTATATACTACATTCTACTTGTCCATTCATCCATGATGGACACTGGATTCTTCTACCTCTTGGCTATTTGTGAATAGTGCTGTCAGGAACATGGGTGTACAAATGTCTCTTCAAGGCCCTGCTCTAATTGTTTTACTACCCAGAATTTTATCTTTAGCAAAATAACTGTTAAAGTTTTTAACTTTTACTTTACTTGATCTGCCCTTTTTCTTCTGAAGTTGGTTATTTTAAAAAATATTTGTTGGATTCCTGTTCCTTTACCCTGTCCCCACCCTCACCTTCGCATGGTCCTAATGGAGTTGCGGTATTGTAGCTCTTTTCTGTTTACTTCTCAGGGCAGCAGCAACGGAAACGATGATGTCAGCGGGCCTGTGCAAAGTTCCCTGGAAGACTGAGCCACCGAAGGCACTCGCCCCTGCCTGGGGCCGACCAGCAGAGGGAGGTGGTGCCCCCAGCGTCTGTCACTCCAGGTGCTCCGCTGGGGAGCCGCAGCCCCCTCCTCCCCCTCCTCCCCCTCCTCACATTCTTCTCCCGCCACTTCCTCTCGTCCTCGTCCTCTCCCTCTCGTCTCTTTCCTCATTCCTTACTCTCATCTGGATTCTTACTTCCTATTCTTTTAAGTCTGCTTCTGAACCCTGTGTGTTAAGGTTGCTACATTGTGAGGACTGTGTCTAACTCTCAGATTTCAGTGAAACTGCACAGATGATGTGTGAATAAATGAATTTCCAAAATAACTGTGTTTTTCTGTTACTATTGTCACATAGTTTTAACTGGACCCCGTCAGTCAGTGCATGCTGGGATACTACTTTGCCTTTGCTTACTTATTCCCTGGCAGGCTTCATCAAGGACTTGCATATCGGTGCCTGCAGGGTCGATTCCTCCCAAAGGCCGCCACTTTCTACTGGTGATATTCATTTTTTATTTGGGTTATACCTCACCTCACATTGGCAGATGGCAGAGGGAATGAGTGCTCCCAGGGACGGCACTGAATTGTGAAGTCCTCTGTGGAGTTCAGTGTCCCCGCCTCATCTTGGTGCTGCCTGTCTTTTGTTGGTTTCTTTCTGACAAGCCATTGGGCAATGTTGGCCAGAAAGTAAAGATGTCTTCCTCTGGGTGTCAGAAATGTATGACTTATGTTTGTAAGAAATTAAAGAAAAAGTTTTGTCTTTGGAAAATGTAACTTTATGTATCAAATACTAAATTCTTAATAGAACTGGAAGTTCTGTTATTTAGAATTCAGAAGTTGCAGGGGCCGGCCCGGTGGTGCACTGCACAGTGCGCCGCTTGGGAGTGTGGTGGCGCTCCCGCCGAGGGTTCGGATCCCACATACAGACCGGTTCCCGCTCACTGGCTGAGTGAGGTGCGGGTGCAACAC